TCCGACTAACTTCTGTGAGGAATCTAATAGCATGCATGTAGCTTGCACTTTCCTCCGCACGCATTTGACAATGTCATCAATTAGCTGTCTTTCAGACCTGGAAGGAAGAAAAGTATAATAAGTTAACCAAACAGGGGGGGCACCAAAGCAAGAAAAACAACGAACATTCAAATATGCATGCTTACTTAAAATTCTTCGAATGCCACCCAGATATTTTGGATACTTTTTTCAAATCTGCTCTCCACTGGGTCACCTTCTTTTTGTCTTCGGTACTAATGAACTTTTCTTCATGCTCAGTGAAGGCTTCAGCAAAAGACGCCCTCTGATTGCCTATGTCAGATGGATTTGTCTCATAAAAGACCGGCAGAATTGATTTCCTCGCTTCCATGCATTGAACAATGTTTGTGAGTTCGTCCAAGCACCATTTGGAATGAGCATATTTTGGAGAGAGAACAACGATTGCTGTATGCGATGCTTTGATTGCACCTAGGAGCTCTGGAGAAATACTTGTTCCTCTTTCAAGCTCTTGATCGTCATAGAAAGTCGTAATTCCTTGGCACTTGCACAATTCATGGTATAAATGAGATACAAAACCCCTGCGAGTGTCTACACCAGTGAAACTCAAAAACACATCATACTTCCATCCAGGAGCTAAATCATTCGAAAGAAAGGATGAAGAGGCTCTTTGGGTGCTCCAAGTCAATGCCATTATCTGTAAACGACTATCCTCTAATTAGCCACAATTGGCAGCACTGATGAGGCAATTTGTACCCCAATGAAGAGAACTGCAGAACACATAGAACCCATTGAAGCTCAGAAATACAAAGCACCCACAGCCAAAAAACAGTTCAAAAGCCAGGAATCGATAACCCATTAAGGAAAAATGATAAAGAAAGCAATTGGAAATACAAAGTTGTTTCATTTGTAACTGATCGCACTTATACAATCGAAATTCATCAACGTTCAAACTTAAACAATCACAACCTCAAACAACCAAAGTCAAATGCCAGTTAAAAAAAATCAAATGCCAGTTATTAGAATGGAAAGTTGAAGTACCTGGGCAAGTTTTTCTTTTTATCCGAAGATTATCTCCACTTGCCCTAAATAAAAAGGACAACAACAATTGTGATCTCCACTTTCCCTGCATTCAAAATATCACCACAAGTGCACTTATATAAGGGAAAAAAACAAGTGCATCCAATCACCAAAGTTTACATAAATTTGTCACAAATCCATGCCACTGAGAGGCACAATAGGATGTTCAAAATCAAAGCAGTTAAGAGTCAGTCTGCACATGAACAATTGAATGTTACAGATGGAGTGCAAAATCACGTGGAATGAAAAACAAACAGACAGTTAGGGGTTCAGAAATTTAACATAAATTACTATAACTCAACCATCAGAAAAAACCCTCAAAACCACACAAGGAAAAAAATGAATAACTTTTTTTTTTTTTCTAAGATTAGGAGAGAAAAAGGCATCAGTGGAAAATCCTAAAAAAGTAGAAAAATAAAAAGCCAAAATTATAAATCTGGAAAGAGTACCCAAGGATTAGATTTCCTGGGATTAAGATTTTCTTCGAATGTACACCAGATTCGCGGTTTTTCAGTGAGAGGACGTTCTCGTTAGTAGTTTCTTAGAGATATGAGGAAAAATAGAGATGAAAAAAATACCCACGAGAAGGAGCGGAGGTGGTGCTGTCGAACGGAGGAGGAAGGAGGGAGGAGCCTGGATGGGGAGATGAGAGCCAGTCTCTTAAAGAAATCCGATTTTTTTTTTTTAAGGAAAAATGGCAATTGCGGAAATAAATCAAATTATCAAATGAAATTGCACTCTAGCTAAAGCTACAGTGCCGCCGCTCCCTACTCTTAGAACAGGAGAAATGTTTTAAAATTTAAGAATAGAATTTGGAACTTTAAATCTTCTCTTGGTAATACAAGATGCAATTTTTATTCGTAACTACACAGATTTATTGCGGTCAGATATTGGGCTTAATGTCAACACATATTTGACAATTCGATTTGATTTTACAATCATCGATAACTCAGTTTAAGTTGTTGAATCATATGCAATTACTGAAAAATGAGTTATGCAAACACAAACAGTATTCAATGAACGAGTAAACAAAAATGAGCAGGAAAAAGAAAATAAAAACTTTAAATCTTGTTTTGGTAATTGAAAATGTATATTAAGCAAAAGAGATTAAGAACGTAGAGAATTATCAAACAAAATACAGGATCAACAGAGACTAACAAAAGTAGAGATAAGTGACAAATGGCAAGGCAAGAAGCAGATAAATCACACCGAAAATTCTCGTAATGAAATTGTAGGAATATAAGAAATTCAGAGAGGTAGGACTAGGAAATAAATGGGAGGGGGATGGGTACTTATACTGGTAGTGAAGGTGGTGGGGACCACATGGTTCAGTGACGGTAATACTGTCGGATGAATTATTTCTTTGATGAAGAAATGTTAGTCTGATTACTTATCTAAATAGGAGTAAAGAACTAAAATTTTAAGACAATCTATGGTGAACTATTTAACAGTAAAAATATGTTAAATATCTCATACTCCGTTAAAATTCCAAACAATTAATCATCCTGATCAATGCTTACTGTTGAATTTTGTGGCTCATTCCTAATGGACTGTTTACTTTGACTGAAGCCAATGTTTTTTTGGATAAAAAAAATGGTTTCAGTCACTTGATGACTATGTTAAAGGCAGCAAGGAGTCAATATTATAAGGCATTGGATGCTTTTTCTTTCGGTTCCCACTTCCCATCACCAAAGAGGAAAAGAAAGGCAACCAATCCTATGCCTTTCAGTTCCTAAAAAAGAAGGACAAAAAAATGGAGCAGCATTATAAGGCATTCGATGCTTTTCTTTTGGTTCCCATTAGCAAAGAGAAAAATAAAGGTGTTGGGCAATTACACATTCAAGATATTGGTGCTAATTTTTTGGCGTTTGGGAGAGACGAAATTATGTATTTTCGTCTCTTCCGTTCTTTTTTTGTTTGAGAGAATTATTGGGTGTATCTACGATTTGGGGTTTGAGAGTTAAAACTTTATTTGTGATCTTCATTAGTTATTAGTAAAATTTCTTTACCATTTCTGTATTGGATGTAGACTTATGCCAAATCATTATAAATCTTTGTGTCATTTTGAATTCTTTGTTTTGCCCAATTTTTCTGAATTAATTTATTAGTTTCACATTTAATGCTTTCAAATAACACTTACTACTAAGACCATTTACAATCCTTGGTCTAAAACCTAAAATTTTTAGTCCAGAAAATTTCTGCTCTAATCTTTCTTGTCTAAAATTTTAGCCCCATATTATTAAATAACGAATTTAGGCAATTTTTTTCTTAAAGTAACTTTTTAAAAGAAAAAATTATGTAGACTATCTTAATTTAATTTTATGAACATTTTAACCTAAAAATATTTAGATTCTGAAAAATCACTAACCAACACCGTGAAACTCGTTAAACACTATGAAAAAAAATATGAAACATATAATAGTTTTTTTTTTTAGTTACCTTAGCTGTTAGATTTAAATTTGGACCGTTAAATTTTTGTTTTTATCGTTGAATTTCATCAAATTAGATTTTAACAGTTGGATTCAATGAATTTATAAATATAAAACTAAATAAAATATACATATACGGTGAGTCAGCCCTACTAAGCCTAGGTTAAATCTGGCTTTGTTTTAGGTTATAGATTTTAGGTCCAATTTTAAGCTTGGGTTGAGTTGGATTTGGGGGGGAAATAGAAGCAGAAAAATTAGGTTATAGGCCAGGGTTGGAGATGGTCTAAAAGAATGAGCTAAACCATTTAATCAAATTAAACTACAAGTTTACTGCATAAAACTGATCATATTGGTTTCAGTTGACTGATTTGAATGTTTCATCACATAAGTATAAAGATAAACTTCGATTAAAGGGAAGAACAAATACTAACTAAGTGAGAACATCAGCAATTAAACATTGGCATCTAGTATCGAGCCAAAGATAAGTTGGAATGACCTAGCAAGCAGTTAAACTCTCAACAGAAAAAGTTATATGTGGGAAAGAAATAATGAATTACATGAAACAAGAATATCAAAATAACGATGTAATCAATCTATTACGTGTTATTATACCACAAAATTAAAATTTCTCTGAAAGAAGTAAAAAGGAAATCCTCAGAGCTGTCAACTTTTCAATAATCGCTGAAGAGGAAAAACTTAAGAAAACACGTGAACACATAGCACTTCTAAAGTGAAAAGACAAGTATTTTCCAAGAAAAAAAAAAGGTAGAAGACTGACTCTGATTTCCAATACGTTCCAAAGTGAAGGGGCAATGGTTTTCTAACAAAAAAACAAGGAACTGTAAGACTGATCACTGTGAGAAATTTCCAAGAAGCTTCCCCGTTGGGGAGTGTTATCTTTCTTCACCTTTTCTCTGCTCACCAAAGTGATTGGATGCAAGACTTGTAACTTCTCTGAAACTTCCCAGCTTTCCCATTTTCAAGAGGAAAATAATTATGTCACCCACAATGAAACCTGAATCTAGGTTTTTTCGCACAAGAGCAGTAAAGGGGTAATCCAACACGTAAGGCCATTTTGGCAATTGCACAATATTAGCCCAAAAATTAACATAAGGATTTACCGCTCACATGTTATCCAACAAAGTTTCTTTATTCTTTTATCTAGAACCTGGCGATTGCATATGAACAGTCTAAAAATACATTCTAGTTTTCAATTGTTGTACCAACACCTTGGGTTTGCGGTTCAATAGCTGCAAGATATATAAAGAGATGAGTGAAATCACAGTTCAGTAAGGATATAAACCTTATCATGAATAATTGATCAAACTAAACTAAAGTGACACATTATATTTTAAATTGGCCACCAATGGAATTTGAATCCACGTTATCATGTAAAAACTTAACACTTTTCTACCATTGTAATACAAAATCACTATCTAATTTAACAAAAACTATCGTGTAACAAAAAAAAAACATTAAGTGACGCATAATCATAGATTTCAAGCATAAGAAATTCAAAACAATATTTCCATGAATGCATGAATGTTCCCTCATTCCCAAGGAAATCCCCATACACATGTACCATCATTACTAAAGTGAAAGGACAAAGATTTTCCACAATAAAAGTGACAGGATGCAAGACTTTCGAGTAAGTTTCCAACTTTCTTACCAGAATATCGAGAAAAGATATTCATGTTCTTTATTTTATTTATTTATTTATTTTCTAAAAAGGAAAATATTTATGTCACCCACTAATCTAGGTTTTTTCACACCAACATTCCCAGGACAGGTTCTTCTTTTGATATATGTATGTGATCAATCTGCCCAATGCCTACAGCTATTAAATATGATTGATATGTTCTCAGCATTATTCACTAACATAATGCATAATGACAATCTTCATCAGGCTACAATCTTCACGAGGCAAATAAAATACTTAAAGATATTCTGATGTAAGAGAATCTATTTTCGGTTTTTCATTTTCAAAGAAAACTTGTTTGACAACTACTTTCAGTTTTTAATTTTTAAAGAAATAAAAACTAAAAACTAGTTTTTTGAGCTTTCAAAATTTGTATCTTCAGTTTTTTAATTTTAGTTTCTAATCAACACCATGACACAAGCCATCAAGTAACAAAACCAGTAAAAAGTCAACTGAAAACATTATATGTCGAAAAGAACAATGAATTACATGAAATAAGAACACCAAAATAACCGCAGAATCAACCTATTACGTATTGTCACACCATAAAATTAAAATACAATGAGAAGTGGCGACAAATTTGAACCGCACCGCTATAATGTTGCCGTGTAATGTAAATCTCCCTCAAAGAAGCAACAAGGAAATCCCTATGCAATAGCCTTCCACTTTCCAATACTCGTTCAAGAGGAAAAGCTGAAAGGACAAGTATCTTCCACATGAATAGTGGAAGACCGACTCTGGGAAATTTCCAGGAAGCAAGATTTCTGAGTAAGTTCCCAACTTCCCTCTGAGAAAAGATAATTCATGTCTTAGTAAGTTCCCAACTTTATTCTGAGAAAATTACAGGTACGTAAGTTCTTTTTGGTTAATACATGATCTCTTACCTTTGAGATTAATCAATTTTAGATCATCTTACTTCCATTTCAAAATGGCAGTTACTAAACACAATAGGTTTCACTTTCACTACCATTCATATGTAGTTTGCTGTTCAACTCTTATTTCCAAACTAAAGGTGCCGAGTTCTGAATGATGGAGAGAGTCACTAGGGCATGGGGGCGGCTAATCTCTACTACCGACCTTGAGATTAAGTTCTTCCCTTGGCGCCATGACTCCTTGCAATGACATTTGAAAGAAAAAAAAAAAAAACAAAGTTGTTGTTTACACCCTTGGCGTTATGACTCCTTTGCATGAGACTGTATACCTTTTTTGGTAAAGAGTTCAAGGCCCTTCTAGATCCCAACGAAGGCAGTCACTCGTACTTGAAGTGGATTGACAATAAGAATGCATAAAATGCTTCACTAATGACTCTTAAATTGTAATTATTATTTTATATTTTCGGTTTGTGTGATTTTTGTTACAATTAATTATTCATTAAAAAGAAGGAAAGCAGGTGTAACCAAAATAATGTACAAGTAGACCCCAAATTAATTCCACATTTGTGTATCTCTTGAAATTAGCAAGAGTTGTGATGGGCAACGGTTATGGTGGGCAGGTAATTATGATTATTTACCTATAACCGTTTATTCTTACCCACATAGCTGTTTAGGGTAATTGCAGAAACAATTATACCCATTTCCATACCCATAATTTATAAACCACCCATACCCATAACCATAATCGCGTACTTATTTAACCATTTTTAACCCGTTTACCGTTTTTACACGTCTACACGTTTTTTTTTTTTTTTACTCATTTATAAGTACATTTAGCATGTATTACCGTATTTCAATCTCTAAAGTTCTCATACCATTCCAACAATTGAAATTATAGAACGAATGATATTCAAGCATCTTATTAACAGCTGCTGCAAGTTAACTTTTTTTTTTTTTTTTTTTTTTGGTGAAACAATCCCCTTCAGCTTGCAAAGTTTATTTGACCTTTCCTGTGAAGGTAAGTTGAAGGGAACTTTATATGTGCCCTACAATTTGCACATTATACCTCACAACTTATTGGAATAAGATTGGAATGTCGTCAGTATGTAGGGTATGCTGCAAGTTCTTAAGAAAATTGAATTAGTAAGAAATCAAATGCTATTGGCTTAACGTGCAGTCTGGACTGTAATAACCGAGTCATTTGACTCCGTTGGAAGCAACTCTCAAAAGCATATCCATGAATCGGATTTTGTTTTCTATCTGATCCTCTAAGTTTTATCAAATGATGTAATCTTTCGGGTTCACACTAAGTATATTTGGATATAGCTCGATCCCACGAACACATAGGTGAAAACCGTTCGTAAATCGAAAGTATAATGAAGGAGATATAAGCAAGTGAAGGCAAGGGTAAAATGTTCATTTGAACCAATAACTATGGGTAATACCCATAACCATCTATTTAAATTTTACGAATAAAGATTGAAATTCTTGGTTCTCCGAAACCAGAGAAGAAGAAGCTCAGAAATCGAAGCTTTCAAATCATGAGTCGTGGAAGGTCGTCTTTTACAAGTCGGTATGTGATCAAAACCCATTTAATTATTTTCTCATTATTTTGTTTTAATGCTGAAATCTAGGGAGAAATTCAAGATTATAGAAGCGGATGTTTAATTTGTTTGTATTGGGTTCTGGTTGGTGTGTAAATTTGCTAGCTCAATTGTACATCAGTCAAATTAAGTAGCTCAATTTGTATGGGTTTTCGGTTTCTTGGCGGCCGCAAACACATAGTCAACTTATTTCGATTGTTGAACTTGATTCCTTTGTTGGATGCTGAGAAATTTGAGGAAAATGGCAGTAATTACCAACTTAAATCTCCCTTTTGTATTGATTTTATGCGCCTGGGGTGTAACAATAAGAAGCTTATGTCAATGTTGAATAGCATACAAGGGATATTGTGTTCAGAGTTTGTTTGTTTGTTTGTTTTTTTTTTTTTTATTATGATTGGATAGAGTATTCTTTTAAGGCTGTTAAAGCTGCTTGGATCACCTCAGTCGGTGTCCGGGGAAAGGATTCAGTATTGTTGGTGATATAACTGAATCTTTACTATAATGTTATCCTGTGAATTAGTGCTGGTTGTAAACTTCGTGATATTAACGCAGGACAAGCTTTTGGATCAGACAAGTGTCACACATCCCTTCCCCATCACAAAGTTCTTAGAGTTGCTGGCTACTGTAATGATGGGTTTCTTTTTTGCTTCTTTGGATTTGCTTTGAATACTTGAATCTCAATTGGATTTTTTATCCTTACAATTAGTTCGTAGGAATATGGTAGCCCTCATGTTCTTTTACTGTTCAATAGAGCATTAGTTAAAGTAGTGATGTTTCTGTCCATACAGTTGGTAGTGCGAAATGAAAATTGTCCTCTTAATTTGTTGCAGCCGCCATGTCCTCTGAAAGACGACACTCATGTAAGAGCAAGAGGCTATGGAGCTACCGACGAATTATAGTCACAATCTAGCTGAAATTGTAATAATTGTGATTCAAATTTCAATGCTTTTGAATTGTTATGGTGTTAAGTCGTTTCCTTAGTTTCAAGGTTTATGCTGAAATTGTGTGTGATTTTGTACTTTTCGCAGCTTGAGAGATGAGTTTTTCTCCGTCTTCCTCTTTGGTCATCAAAGGACTTTCTTTTCACGGGCCCACTTCAGATCGAATAGATGGAAGCTACTAACCCATCTCTTGGAAGGTAATTTCTGGAGTTATTAACTTTTTTGAATATTTTATTAGGTTTTTTTTTTTTTTTTAATCAAGAAAATTAGATACTCATTTTATTAAAAGAAAACTAATGAAAATGGTTTAAAAATTTTGAGTTTTAATGATAAGGACAAAATAAAGGGTAAAGTAAATAATACCAGGATTGAATAGTGTAAAAATATAATTTTTCGTTAAAGTGAACAATATCGTTGACTTTTGTTAAAACTCTCTTTTATTAATTTATGGAGTTTGCTGGTTTGGTAGCTTCCATCTATTCGATTTGAATTCCAGGACAAGAAAAAGCAGATTTCAAAGAAAAAGCAAAGGATTGTACAGCCACTGCTGCGAAGGTACATACAATGTGATGTTAAATTTACCCAATTTTTCGATTTGGATTTAGTTCAGAGTTTTTGGGTTTTTGACTTAGTTAAAGTAGTGATCTTTGTGTCCGTACAGTTATAGTGGGAAATGAAAAATGTCTTGTTAATTTGTTACACAGCAAGGCATTGGCATATGCATGAAGGTTTATGGTATTTGTATGATTTAAACACACCCACATGGTTTGGTTATGTTGTGTTGTGTGTAAACTCAGTTAGCTGATTAAATTAAAACTGAAGAGTTGTGAAATTTGAGATGCATAGCAGCCTAAGTCCACAAATAAGTTGCGGCACTAATTCAATAAAGTTCCTTGACCACCACCCAGCCCTAACTTAAGGCTGATAACCCTTGAATCTCAAATAGTATATCACCATGTATAGCCGATACGTCATATTTGAAGATTACCACATAATCTATAACCTAAAAAGTTAGAAGAAAGTAATAGATAAGGTGTAATGAATAGCATCGTGTATATATTTTTCCTCCCATAAGCAGCTTTTGTGGAATTTCATTCATTTTGTACATGATTAACACCAGTCGTTATTTAATTTCACAACATACCCGAATGCAATTCAAAGTTTGGAATTTGATATATATTGATGTGGGAATTCAAAGCTTTTTCAGTGTTTAGTTTGTTTATATATTTGAAGGAGTTAATGTTGGATGCAAAGATCATATACCCAGTAGGGATGGACATGACATTCTTCGCAGGGGCGAAGACAAACAAAAACTTTATTAATTTTTTTTGTTTCAACAGTATTTTTTTTTTTATAATAAATATAAAGGTCCACAGTACAAACAGTATTTTTTTTTATAATCAAGTTGATAGTTCATCACCAGGCTGTTGTACGGTACATGGCAAATTATGAGGCCAAGAAGGAAATTACTTCGTTTCAAGCACTGAAGCTGAAGAATAAGAAGAAGGGATTTTGGTTATGGTTTTTCTGTGTTAGTGCTAGATTTATGTATAATATTTCAGATTCTCTAAGGAAGAAGAATTGGAATTGAAACTTTGGCTTTTGGATTTTCTGGGGAGAGCAAAGAATATCGGATGAAATGATATATCTTCTTTCACACAATGATGGTTGGTCTGAGACCGGTTAGCAAGATATAATCTTAACCGTCCAAGTAAGTCATTTTATAAGATGCTTACACATTATATGAGCTATAACACATCCAAATAAGACAACTATAAAACTGAGAGTACAAGTAATCTGCAAAAGCGTTTCTACAACAACATTCGTATCCCCTCGCCTTTCAATAAATAGTCATCTTAATTTAGCTTGTGAGATTGAATACATTGGCTAAAAGATGGCGAAGCAAAAAATATTTTTAAAAACAATGAAGTTGATGGGATAAATCAATAGTGACTAGTAACAATGTCTTTTGTGGATTTCTTTTGTGTCGTTGAAACTGGCACTTCCAGGTCCACTTGGAGCTGCCTCATCACGATTTTCATGTGTTCTTTTCAAGATTTTCAGTGTTCGTTTGAGTTCTTCCAAATCTTTCTTGTACAGCAAACGAGCCCCACACTTCTTCACTGTATTCAAGTCTGCTTTTACTCCTCTTCTGTCTCCAAAAGCATCAAAGTTTACTCCTCTCTCTCCAAAAGAAGCATCAAAGTAAGTTTCAAATAAAAACTGTTCTTGATGACAACTAGAACAATCCAAATAAAATACCCAAAGGTGTTCAGACATGAGAGACCCTATTTTGTAGGTCACACTAAGGTGTTCAAACGCGAGAAACCCCATTCTGTAGATCACACTATTATCAATACCTCTAGCTCGAATACTGAACTTATCACAATGAGGAAGGGCAGCTGGATTGGCCAAGTTTTGCTTAGGATCTTGAAAAACAACACAAAAGGCAATCCCCAGCCAGTCAGTACATGATGGCGGAGGGAGATCCACGTTTACTGAATGTCCCACACTTTGATTACTGAACCACCTTGGAATTTCACTTCCAGGGATTACAATTTCTTGGACCCACTGTACGAATCCCTGTAGCAGAAGAAAGATCAATTATTTAGAGAGAGAGAGAGAGAGAGAGAGAGAGAGAGAGAGAGAGAGAGAGAGAGTACCTCAGTGGCAAATTTTAGAATCGTTGAGAGTATTGTATTAATACAGCCTTCATCTTGAGCCAATGCAATGTTATTCAGGCAAAAGAACTTATAACAAAAAGACTCTCTGCCATAGGTCCATCTAGTCGTCATCTTGTATGTATCTATCAACCTTTTCCTTTTTAAGGAAATACAATTGCATGCATCGCAATAAGGGCTCTCTGGCACTGATGGAAGAGTCTCTTCGCCCTCATAGATACTGGTGTATCTACTCATCATCTTGGAAGGATCTAACAACCTTTTTAAGGAAATACAATTGCATACATTCACATGCAAAAGGCCCTCTGATGGAAGAGGGGGCAATTCTTGAAGGCTTTTGCACCTCTCGAGATCAAGACACCAAAGCTTAGAAAGGTATCTAATGCTTTCAGGTAGACTGACGAAATTATTTCCACTAAGATGCAATTGTTCAAGAAAGGACAAGCAGCCAATATCATTGGGGATATCTCCTTCATGGAGATTACAGTCTGCTAAATTTAACTCTGTCAAAGAGCATAAAAGATTTAGAGAAGACAACTCCACACCCCAACGAGGACGATCATGATGACTCTTTTCAACCCCACACCCGTCCCTTGCTTTAGCATCCGATCCTTCATCCGATTTGTCAAACACTAGAACTTCAAGAGACTTCAAACTATAAATAGCCATTGGAAGGTTCAAGAGATTCTTGCAATTATCTAGATTCAACACCTTAAGGCCAACCAGATGTCCAATTGATGAAGGTATGTCCTCGATCGCCGTCCCACCTAAGTGAATCAAAGACACATTCTTCATCTGCTCCCCAAATTCTGGAATCTTTTTCAGATTTTTGCAATCACATAGATACAACTGCTTAAGGCCCACTAGATGTCCAATTGATGAAGGTATTTCCTCGATCGCCTGTCCCACTTAAGTCAATCCAAAACACATTCTTCATCTGCTCCCCAAATTCTGGAATCTTTTTCAGATTTTTGCAATTGCGTAGATCCAATACCTTAAGGCCAACCAGATGTCCAATTGATGAAGGTATTTCCTCGATCGCAGTCCCACTTAAGAACATCCAAGACACATTCTTCATCTGCTCTCCGAATTCTGGAATCTTTTTCACATTTGAGCAACGATCAAGACGGAAAAGTTCAAGAGAATCCATTTCAACCTCACTTGGGAGGCTCTTAATGCTTTCACACCCTTCAAGTATCAAAAATTTAAGTCTTTTAAGGACTGCAATAGTTGGGTGCATCTCAACTAAATTCTTACATTCCGAAAGATCCAATGTCTCAAGATTTGGAAGACCACTGAAATCTGGGGTACTCTTCAATTTATTGGACCATGTAAGATTGATATATTTCAAGCTGGGCAAGTCCTGTACAACACCGATAAGGTTCATATCATATATTTAGCTTCTACAACCTTAAAGTTTATTCAAAACAATAAATAAATAAATATATGATTATTTTGTAAGTTAAAAGCATTTATTCAATACTACTTTTTACCATTTTTCCCTCCCATAGCCGAACAAGTTTGCTATGAAGCATCAAGAGTTCAATAAGAAAACGTGGTTGAAAGCTGGTTGGAAGAAACTTGGACGGATAAAAACTCCAATTTATAGTTCTCAGGGAACATGGAAGAAATTTGGGGCTTGAAGAAAAAATCAAATTACCGAATTCCAAAAACCTCAGTCCATGGAGCTTAGAGAAGGCTTCCCCATTCCACTGGCGTACCTCCTCTACTTTGGGCAAGCATAAGGATATTGCTTCAATTGCTTCCGTTCCCTAACAATTAAGAAAAAAGGACAAATTAATTTCACATTCAAGTCTACTATAGTGTCAAAAGAAATCATATATTCTTTCAAACTTGGTATTTAACTTCTTACCGTATTAGTCGTGAATACATGAGAAATGTCATTGTAACGCCACAACCTACTACGTTTACCAGGCTCTTTAGACTCATCATCAACAATTTTCCATGCCATTTCTTGTATCAAATCATGCATCCATATGCAATTTTGGTGATCTTGATAGAGGAGAGACTTCTCAATTAGAACATCTATCACAGCAAGGCTAGAAATTCCCAAAGAATTAGAATTATCTAATATTTCAATAATTCCTCGCTTCGTGTACTTCCCTTTGTGGACACATGCAACATCGAGAAAAATGCTCTTTTGCATCTCTTCTAGTCCATCGTAACTTATTTTAAGTGTATCAAAAATTTTTGGCTTAGGAATTTTGACAGATTATCCCGTTCACTACACCAAGCATCTAGCCCTCTCTTAAACAAAGCTGACCCCAAAGTCTTAAGAGCTAATGGAAGGCCTCCAGCATGATTAATGAAATACTTAGACAGTTCCAAAAAATCTTCCTCAGGTTGGTCTTTTTTAAACGCATGCAGGCTAAAGAGCTTAAGTGCTTCGGCATCATTCAACCCCTGCACCTTATATGATGTTTCTATACCATGTTCGACTAGCAAGCGCTGATTCCTAGTTGTCACGATAATTCTACTCCCCATACCAAACCAACCTTGATTTCCAGCCAACACTTCAAGTTGCTTCAATTCATCCACGTCATCAAGTACGAGGAGAACCTTTTTATTGCGTAAGAACTTCTCAATGAGAATACTTACGCGCTCTTCAACCCAAATTTCTGGGTTCCTTTCCTTCAAGAGGCGGGAAAGAAGTTTTTTTGCAAGATCAACTATACCATATTTTGCACATTCCTCTCTAACATTGGCAAGAAAACAATGAACATCAAAATCATGGAGGATTTTATCATAAACTAGGTTAGCAAGGGTTGTCTTGCCTATGCCACCCATACCCGTTATCCCAATAAAGCGAACATCATTAGCATCATGAGCAAACAGCATATTTAGTTGCTCTAGTGCATAGTCAGTTCCAACTAACTTCCATGAGGAATCTGTTGGCGTGAGTGTAGCTTGCACTTTCTCCCACACCCATTTGACGATGTCTTCAATCAGCTTTCTTTCATCCCTGGAAAGAAGAAAAGTATAATAAGTTAACCAAACAGGGGCACCAAAGCAAGAACAAGAACGAAACATTTAAATATGCAAGCGTACTTAAAATCCTTCCAATGCTTCCCAGAAATTTTGGATACACTTTTTAGATCAGCTTTCCATTGGACCACCTTCTTTTTATCTTCGGTACTGATCAAGTTTCTTTCATGCTCCTCAAAGGCTTCGGCAAAAGATCCCCTCTGATTTCCTACGTCGGAGGGATCTGTCTCATAAAAGACCGGCAGAACCGACTTCCTGGCTTCCATGCATTGAAGAATCTTTGTAAGTTCATTCAAGCACCATTTGGAAGAAGCATAGTTCGGCGAGAGAACAACAATTGCAGTATGCGATTTTTCGATCGCACTCGGGAGCTCATGACGAATACTTGTTCCCCCTTCAATCTCATGGTCGTCCAAGAAAGTCCTAATTCCTTGCCACTTGAACAATTCACCGTATAAATGAGATATAAAACGCTTGCGGGTGTCTACACCCCTAAAACTCAAAAACACATCATAATCCCATCGAGGAGTTGATTCATTCGAAAGAAAAGATGCTGAGGCTCTTTGGGTGCTCAATGCCATGGGGAGAAACAGTTGCTGTAAATCGTGTACTGCAAACAGTAAATGAATGAACAAGTAAAAAGATAGAAAATCAATGTTTTAAAATGTAAAAAAAAAAAAAAAAAAAAAAAATTTGAAACTTTAAAATGTATATATATTAACCAAATGAGAAAATACTATAAAAAACAAAACCCAGAATCAGCACAAACTTACACATGCAGAGCAAAGTGACAAATGGCAAGGCAAGAAGCAGAAAAATCACAGTGAAAATTCTCACAACAAAGTTGTAGGAAGAGACGAAATTGAGAGAGAGGTAGGAATGGAAATAAATGAGAGAGAGATGGACAGCAGAGTACTCATACTGGTATTGGTGGTGTTAGGAATTACACGGTTTAGTTTGTGATACAACAATAAAATGTATAAAACGTTATACGTGGAAAAGAACAATGATTTACATGAACTGAAACGCCCAAATAGCCGTGTAATCAACTTATTACCTGTTGTCACGCTACAAAGTTAAGGTACGATAAGGCGGGGATAAAGTTGAGCCACACCGCTGTAATGTTTCCTTGCAATGTAAAGCTCTTGAAAGAGGGCAACATGAAAATCCGCATGCAAGAGGAAAAGCTAAAGTGAAAGGACAAGTATTTTCCACAAGAAAGGTGGAAGATGGACTCGAGAAATTTCCAGGAAGTTTCCTTGTTGGGACGGGTTACCTTTTCTCTTCTCACCAAAGTGATTGGATGCAAGATTTCTGAGTAAGTTTCCAACTTTCTTCTGAGAAAAGATATTCATGTCTCTTTGTTTTTATAATGCTGCTAAAGCCACTTACCTGTCTGATTTATTCACCCACTTTGCAATACTCGTTCGAAAGCATTTTCCACAAAAGTAAAGGGTTCTGCAAACTAAAACAGTAGTCAATGAACAAGTAAAACAAAAACGAGCAGTGAAAAGAAAATAGAAAATAGAAACTTTAAATCTTGTTTTCTTAATTGAAAATGTATGCTAAGCAAAAGAGGTTAAGGTTTCAGAGAAAATACTAGAAATAAAAATACACGATTAGACAAACTTACACAGGCCGAGAGAAGTGACAAATAGCAAGGAAAGAAGCAGAAAAATCACTTTGAAAATGTTAAAGGCGTTGGATGCGTTTCTGTTCTTTTGGTTCCCATCAACAAAGACAAAAAGAAAGGCAGCCTATGCCTTTCGGTTCCTAAAAAACAGAGAAATGAAAAATTATATTTATTCTTTTGTTTGAGGGTGAGCTATTTGGTGTATCTCAAATTTGGGTTTAAAAGTTAAAATTCTATTTGTAATCTCTGTTGATTAGTAGTGGAATTTTCTTACCGTATTTACACTGGATGGAGTCTTATGTCGAACAAATATAAATTTTTGTGTCACTTTGAATTGTTTATTTTGTCCAATTTTTCTATATTAATTTATTAGTTTTATATTTGACGCTTCCCCACAACACTTACCACTGAAAAATGAGCTAAACCATTTAATCAAATTAAACTACAAGTCCTCTGCATGAAACTGCTCATATTGGTTTCATTCGACTGATTTGAATGTTTCATCACATAAGTATAAAGATAAACATTTTTTTTATCAAACGGTAGATTTTATTAAATTAGTCATCGACAAACTTCGAACCCACACTGTCATGTAAAGACTCAACACCTTTCCACTACTATGGTAAATGATCACATGCAAGTATAAAGATAAACTTGGACTAAAAGGAAGAACAAATACTAAACTAGTGAGAACATCAGCAATCAAACATTGGCATCCAGTATCAAGCCAAAGATAAGTTGGAAGGAACTTGCAAGCAACTCCATCAGCCCACATTTCTAATCACCACCATCACACAAGCTATCAGGTAACAAAACAAATTAAACTCTCAACAGGAAAGAAAGAATGAATGAATTACATGAAACAAGAACTTCAAGACACCGGTGTAATCAACTTATTACATATTGTCATGCCACAAAGTTAAAATCTCCCTGAAAAAGCAACAAGCAAATCCCTATACAAGAGCTGTACACTTTTCAATACTCGTTCAAGAGGAAACGCCGAAGGGAACACATTAAAATATGGACTCCTAAAGTGAAAGGACAAGTATTTTCCTGATTTCCAATACTCGTTCCAAAGTGAAGGAAACAACTATTTTCTACAAAAATAAGTGGATGGCTGACTGAGAAATTTCCAAGAAGCTTCCCCATTTGGACGTGTTATCTTTTTTCACCTTTTCTATTCTCACCAAAGGAAATCCCCATACATACGTACTACCATTACCAAAGTGAAAGGACAAGTATTTTCCACAATAAAAGTGACTCAAACTATTTTTGATTTTTAGTTTTTAAAGAAAACTTGTTTACAATTACTTCTAGATTTTAGTTTTTAAGAAATGAAAACTGAAAACTAGTTTCTTGAGCTTTCAAATTTTGTATTTTCAGTTTCTAATTTTAGTTTTTAATCAACGCCATGACACAAGCCATCAAGTAACAAAACCAATAAAATGTCAACTGAAAATGTTATATGTGGAAAAGAACAATGAATTGCATGAAACGAGAGCACCAAAACAGTTGTGTAATCAACCTATTACGTGTTGTCACGTCGCAAAATTAAAATACAATGCAAGGTGTCGACAAATTTGAGCCACACCGTTAATGTAATGTTTCCATGCAATGTAATTCTCCCAGAAAGAAGCAACAAGGAAATCCCCATGCAAGAGCTGTCCACTTTCCAATACTCGTTCAAGAGGAAAAGCTAAAAGGACAAGTATTTTCCACAAAAAAGTGGAACACAGACTATGGGAAATTTCCAGGAAGCAAGATTTCTGAGTAAGTTCCAACTTTCTTTGAGAAAAGATATTCATGTCTCTTTGTTTGTTCAGTGATGCCAAAGTCACCTAGATATCTTATTTCTTCACCCACTTTCCAATACTTGTTCCAAAAGTGATACATTAGGACCACTAAAGTATAGGCAGGTATGTTGTAATCTGATTAACCATCATTCTTCAGAATCTTTAACTCTTCATGCATACCAGTGCTTTTAGAGACATTACATGATATACAAGTCTAAAACTCTTGATTTTCTTCTAAATATTATTTTACCCCGACAACACTAAGTTTTATGCAAAAACACTTCAAGAGCTCAACTGAAGGAAAAAAAAAACCTAGTCTATTCACTTGTCATGCTCTAATTGATTCTTAGTTGTGAAATCCTTTCTCAATCATCAAGTCAGTTGGGTTTTTCTTTTTCTTTTTTAACTATTGGGCTTAAAGTGTTTTTCTCTAAGGATCAAGTAAACTTCATCTTCCAGGAGAATATACTCACTAAATTCATTATCTATTATAAGTTTCGGAAAAGAACGCATTAGTTGCAGAATGAAAGCGAAATATAATTCAACTCAGTTTACACAGTTTCTACTTTACACAGACTTATACACCAATTTCTACTTCTTTACACAGTCAAAATCAATAAAATTAACATAATGAACCATTGTTGAATGCTGTAGTCACTAAAATGCAGCATAACATATGTCAAATCTACTGCTTTCCCGGTAAAACCGACATCTTTATGGCCACAAAACTTAAAAAGGAGGAGACCAATCAACAAAGTTCAAAAGCTAAAAGGTTTTCGCTTTGCCAATGGCACAAACCCAGATCACCCACCACTGACTTCACCCTCAAAAACTTTACTTCGAAAAACTTCATTTTTCCCTAAAATTCCATAATTCTACTCCCTCAAACACCCCACCAGACAGTCCTACTAACTTAACCCAGGCCCATTCAAGTCTAATTACCAGATCCAAACTTTCAGAAAGAAAAATTCAAAAAATCAAACAAAATTACAAAATTCAATTGAAAAATTGCAAGAAAATTGAACTCGGAATTGAGCAAAGAAACATACCATAGTTCACCAGTAGCTCAGGAGTCTGACATGCAAGTCGAAGTGATATGAACTGAGTTGTAATAGCAGTGATTAGCTTAATCACTGTTAGGGGTTAAATAGATTTAATGTTATGTTTATTGAGTATTATGTTGTACTTGGGCCAGCTAGTTAAGTTCCGACAAGCTTGTCTCTTGGATAAGATCAGTGACAAGGGAGTTTAACCGACACAGGGTTGTCGGGGAAGGGGCATCAGCTAAGGTTTATACAGGGTCTCTGCCCTCTGGTGGAGAAGTGGCAGTGAAAAGGTTTGAGAGGGCTGATGGGATCGCTAGTCTGCGTAATCCTTTTACCACAGAGTTTGCAACTATGGTGGGTTCTTTGTGGCACAAGAATCTGATTCAGCTTCATGGGTGGTGCTGTGAGGGTAATAACTTAGTCCTGGTGTACAAGTACATGCCCAACGGAAGCCTCAACAAGGTTCTCCACAAAAGCTTCAATTCAGCAATTGTTCCATCTTGGAAGCACAATTGAAACAAGTTATACCGATGAAGAGCGTAATTCTGGCACTTGTCACAGTAAAGCAAAGCATCTTCAGTACCTTTGTCACACGTTTGACAAACAGTCACCTACATCTAGTACACCATAACCAACGTTAGCGTTTTCTTCCCTATTTATTAATAAATACGCACAAAATAACAACAATTGGAAGTCCCACAGCCCAAGCCAAATATATACTTGTAAAATACTGACTGCATATAAGCAACCAAACAGAAGAAGCTTAAAGTATAAGGTGATGTGGATGTAAAAGGTTTATTGTTTCTAATCCTACCATGTTAAGTAGGCATATCTGACATCAAATGAACAGTTTCTATTGTTTGATGAATGTAACTTTGAAATGTGCAACTGTTATGTACGTTCTTTTGCATAATTCAGAGCCATAGCTTGTAAAATCTTATTGTGGTTGATAATGGGAGGAGATCTCATGAATCGTATTTCTACCTGAACGGAAGTGAGAGGAAAAGATGACCTACCGACATTTATCCAGGGATTACAAAGTTGAGCAAATGGTTTTCATCTTAGAGGTTGAAGATAAGTCTTTTGGTGAAAGGATTCTTTTAACAGAGAGAACTAGATACAGAGGGTACCAGATTTCTTCCGATTTGGGTTGCGCTGCTTGGCTCATTGATCAGTTAAAGGAGGCGGTAGTTACAAGCGGTCAGAATTTCTTCAGAAAATATAGAGGTCATAATTATCAGTTTTGGGTTGAAAGATTCCACAACAAAAACAGGGATTTCCTTGTTCTGTCCAAAACAGAAAAGGATGGTTTTGTCAGGAATATCTTCGTTCTAAAGGAAGTAACTTTTTCGGATGGAGAAGTTTGGAGGACCTACTGTCTGAAATCCTTCGAGGGGGAAAGAGAGTCGGGGCTTCTCAGAGGAATGTGAAGAGGGATGGAATTGAGCCTTTGAGCAGCCACTCGGGGTTTGGCCCTCAGGTTTCGTATAGAGACGCAGTTCTTGGAGGCAAGACGTTGACAAATGAGGCATCCCTTCAAAACGTCAGAGAGGAAAGATGGATCAAGAAAAACTGGAATATGAGAGATATTTCCACGGAATCCTATAGTTGGGGGAGTGTAATCGTTTGTGAGAGACTTGTGGTGCATCAGCCTTGGAGAGATGTGGAGATCTTACTTCAAAATCTGCTGGGAAAGAAAATTTGGCTTTCACCGTTCCAATGCAACAAGGCCTTGTTTGTTTGTCAGAACAAAGAGGAAGCAACAAAAATTGCTTAACTTGGACTTCTAGCCATGAATAAGTTACCAAAGGTGGTGTTGTCTGGATGGTGGGATAGTATCAAATCAAACGACAGAAAGGTGGTTAGTTATGGTGGATGGGTTGCTCTGGAAGGTTTACCGCCGCACCTTTGGACCAATGATTTTTTCCAAAAGATTGGCGATGCATGTGGTGGTCTGGTGGAAGTTGACCGTAGAACAGCTAACTTTGGTTTTTTGCTTGAAGCAAAGTTAAAAATCAAACCCAACAACACTGGCTTTATTCCAGAGTTCGTAAATGTGGCAGATGGAGATTCAGTATTCAGGGTAAAAATCCGTCAACTTTCGCTAGCAAAGAGACCTAATCTTTCGGTAGCAAATTGTGGTGTAACCAAAATACCAAATGGCTCTTTGAAGACGGAATTGAAGTTACAAAGGATCATCGGAATTATCCCTCCGGCGAAGGCAGCTTTACAACAGACTGCCCCTATATCAGGGACACGTGTCTGTTTTCAGATTAGAGATTTTGAATGCCCTGTCACTGTTGGATCTGAAAGAAAGCAAGGTGAGAGCATGCACATGACAGAGGGTGCGCGGGTTGAGGAGCCTGTAATTAATGTGTCTACTTTTTCTGTAAGAAAGCAAGGTGAGCAACAACGTGCAGAAAAACTAACAGAAGTAGCGAAAATGACAGAAGCGGTGGATTTCACAGAAGGGGTAGAAAAGGCAGTTGCAAGGGATTATTTTAATAATTCAAAAGAGAAGGGAAGTCAGAAAGAAGTGTTCCATTCGGATAAAGGCAAGGGCTTGAAGGTATGTGGGACAGATGGTGCGGTAGTATTCCCACCGAATGAGCACAAAAATCAACGAAGGGGTTTTATTTTAATAGGACAAAAAGGGAGGCTTATCTCAAAAGTGGTCTCTTTTGGATTAAAGAAAAGGTAATGGAGGCATATGGGTCTTCCATTAATAAGGAGAATTCTTTATATGACTCTGCAAGGAAGGTGGGTCTTGACCCACAAAATCTTTTTGCTGGGTCATGCCTAGGCCCAATTAATCTAAAATTCAATGGGCTGAGATTTCAACTACAAGAAGGAATAATTTTCTCAACCATGGATAATACGCAGACATCTCTGCTGGTGGAATCAAAGCACTCGAATTGGTTGACAATAGGAAGCAGCACTTCAAAGTATTCAATAGTGATCAAATCTCACCGCCCTTCGGCTAAAGAAGCTCATCACAAGGGTGTTTCAAGAAAAACCCCAATTTGTTTCAAATTGAATTTCCTTGGGAGATTTGGTGAATCTGATAAATGTGGAAAAAGACTGAAGCTTGTTCTTCAGGATAAGTTTGGATCTTATCAAACTCCTTTCGAGAGGCCTAAACTGAAGGAAATTCAATCTCCCAATCTCACTTTCTTAAATACTGTTTGTGAACAGATGGAAGAAAATGAGAGTGATGTCGATGAAGTTCCAATAAGGCCATCGGGCAGGTTGATTGAGGAGGACTCATCTGAACAAATGATGAGGTTGACAGAGGATCTTGGTCTGGATTATTCTCAATTATCAGATTTTGTTGAAGACGAATACATGTCACAATCATTAGATTCAGAGGAGGAGCTTGGTGATTATTCACAAGACGAAAAAGAAACCTTCGATGTTTTTGATCGCTTTAACAATGTGTTTCACAATCTCTTCACTGATACAACAATGGAAACAAGGACGACGTTAGATGAGGTACCTTCTCAGTCACATCATATAGCAGATTTAGACACTGTGGAACAAGTTGAATACAAGGATACTAGAAAAAACAAGAAACTGTTAAAGTACAGCAGGAGGAAAAGGTCGGCTTGTGTATCAGTTAAACGTGAAGCACAAAATCAAACTACCAAATTCATGTCAAATATGAAAGTTTCTTTGGTGCCACTAAAAAGGTCTTTATTTCATGAAAAGAATACTGGGAAAGTCATTGCTAGCAAGCTTGTGGGTGGAAACAAGGCAGAAAAGAAAATTCAAATGGGCATTGTCAGATTTAATAAAGATAATTAGCTGAAATGTTAGAGGATTGGGAAGTAGGCAGAAGAGGTTGATTTTGAAACAGCAATTCAGGCGCTTGAAGCCCGATATCATTATCTTACAAGAAACAGAGAAAGAATCAATTGACAGGTCGCTTGTGGCTAGTGTTTGGGGAAGCAAATTTAAAGAGTGGATTTATGCCCCTGCTCAAGGAAGATTTGGGGGTATAGCTGTGATTTGGAATACCAAACACATCTCGGTTATTGAATCTTTGGTTGAAGGTTTCTCTGTCTCCATAAAAATTAAAGCCCTCAATGGGTTGGACTAGTGGTTATCTGGTGTCTATGGTCCCTGCAAAAATAGAGAGCGAAGGGAGTTCTGGGAAGAAATGGCTGGCCTTTACGGTCTTTACGGACCAAGATGGTGTGTAAGAGAAGATTTTAACGTGGTGAGATTTGTAAATGAGAAATCAAATGAGGGAAGAATGACTACAAGCATGAGGAATTTTAATGATTTCATCCAAGATACAGAACTCAAGGATCTGGAGTTGCTCAATGCTCAATTTACTTGGTCAAATTTCAGAGAAGAACCTGTGTGTCGGAGGTTAGACAGATTTTTGTTCTCAGTAGGTTGTGAAGAGATTTTTCCAGAGGTAAGACAAATGGCTTTGGCAAGGGTCACTTCTGATCATTGTCCAATCCAACTAGATACTAACAAGGTGAAATGGGGGCCAAATCCTTTCAGATTTGAAAACATGTGGCTACAGCACCCAGATTTCAGGAACAATTTCAAACAATGGTGGCAATCTGAGCAGGTGGAGGGTTGGGAGGGTTATAAATTTTTGTACAAGTTAAAAGCTATCAAAAGAAAGTTGCAAAGATGGAGTAAGGAAAGTTTTGGTGATGTCGAGAAACAAATTAAGGATGCTGAGGCTAGCATAGAGGATTTAGATAGGAGAGAAGGGTTGGAAGGGTTAGATGTTGCTGCTAAAAGAAAGAAGGAAGAGTTACTTTTCCTTGTGGAAGATCTGGCTTATAAGGAAGAAGTGAAATGGAGACAGAGAGGTAAAGTGGAATGGGCTAAAGAAGGGGACGGTAATACTAAATTTTTCCATAGAATAGCAAGTGGGAGAAGGAAGAGAAACTATATAGAAAGGTTGGAAGTGGATGATAGGGGATTGATAGAGGATGCAGAAGAGATAGAAAAACATATCGTTAACTTCTTCAAGTCCCTGTTTAGTAGCAACGAAGAGGTATGTAGGGGCTTGGAAGGCATCAATTGGGCCTCAATAAGTGAATCTGAGGCAGCTTGGCTTGAGAGGCCTTTTGAGGAATCAGAAGTACAAAGAGCGGTCTTTGATTGTGGAAGGGATAAATCGCCAGGACCAGATGGTTATTCCTTGCAAATGTTTCAACACTGTTGGGAATTCTTGAAAGTGGATATTTTGAAGGTCATGGAGGAGTTCTTTGAGACCGGGATAATAAATGTGGTGACAAATGAAACATTTATTTGTCTAATTCCGAAAAAGTCAGATTCTTTGAAAGTGACGAACTACAAGCCTGTAAGCCTAGTTACTGGTTTATACAAAATTGTGGCAAAAACCCTAGCTTCAAGATTAAGGGAGGTTATGGGCAGCACAATCTCTCCACATCAAGGAGCTTTTGTTAAAGGCCGACAAATTTTGGATGCTGTCCTTATTGCAAATGAGGTGGTAGAAGAGGTAAGGCAGAAGAAAGAGGAGGGACTGGTGTTCAAAATCGATTTTGAAAAGGCTTATGATCATGTCGAGTGGAGATTTTTAGACGAAGTTTTACAAAGAAAAGGCTTTGGCAATAGATGGAGGAAATGGGTGCAGGGATGTCTAAATTCTGCAAATTTCTC